GTATAACACCCACCTCATTCCTCGTCTCAGTTATTTATTTTATGAATGCCAAGTGTAGGAATTGTTGGTAAACATCATTAAAACTGGAACATTGAGTGTTTTAGCGAAAATATATGCACGCCCCGTAGGTGAGAATTAAAGCGCACCAGACCACAGAATTGGGTAGATTTTCTGCGAAAGGTTATGACGTAAAAGTAGTTGTTCTGTATTGATCCTGATTCGCCTTTTCTAATGCTGTGCATGTGTTATGATCCTAAAATAGCTGCTACGGATACTAGTCGTGTTCGCTAGCGGGCTCAGGATTTAATTTTTTGGGGGGAAGAGATTCAACCCGAAAGCGGTTTTTTTTTCCATGTATATAACGATAATTACTTTAGAAAAAAAAAAAGATAGTAACTGCCTATATGAAATGGTGTTTAAGGAATTCTTAAAGTCCTATTAAATTTAATTACATGAACAATAATACTTTAAGAGGTAATTTTTTTTTATTTTGTTTTACCATAAAATATGGTTACATTTCACCATTTTTTGGGGGAGGGAGAGGGAGCTTCAGCCCAAAAGGCCTTCCCCCCGCCCCCCGTAGATCCGCCTATGATCTTGTTCAAACATCCAACTGATAACGATTGTATGTAGATATACCTACGCAGTGGTGCAAAACTCTATTTTCGGGAGAAAAAAATTCGCCCTCCTTAGACATACGACTTAGACTAGACGAAAGATCTAATAGGAATCATTCTTTATGTTTTCTTATTCTGAACCTAATGAAACCAAAAATAAATCGATAGCTTTACCTTAATGTTTAATGAAATCGCTGAAAATTGTCTTTTAATTTGTATTTCGAGAGGTAAATCAGTGGAACCCGTAGAAAATAGTTATTGACCTTCGTTCTACGAATATTTAGGAAAAAAATAAGCTCAAAAAGATTGGAATGCTTTGATTATAAGATTTTATTTTCAATGTGCACCTGTTTTTATATTATTAATTCGTTTTTATTCTTCCTTGTAAAGTAAATATAATTCTTCGTTGGATATAGAAGGTCTTTTCAAAACAGTATAAGGAAAAACCTCTTGAATGTCTGAACTCCACGTAACAGTAATTTGTTTCTAATCTGTGATGTTAATGACTTTATTTTCTTCATCTTGGTTAAAAATAATCAGGTACGACGACGCTACTATTTTATACTTTATACGAATTGTTTATCTAACTGTTTGTATATTTGGGTCATTCCGTTCGCTCGTTCGTGCAAACGTTTCATTTAGGACAGCACATTGCTCCTTGAACTCACGCTTTGCGTATCGTTTACACGCTGGCGAATGAATTTTATGCTAATATGAATTTAAAATAAATATTTCTGTCTTTTAAGGCGGCAAGGAATCTTCTGATAATATTTTTTTAATGCTGAATTTTTTTTCTCATTATTTGAGGATTAGAAAATTTATTTATAGTATAAGAATTTATATACGGTACTTATGTGAATATGACTATTTTTCTAAACGTTTCTTTTAGGTAATTTTTTTTTGTTCTCAATAAAATTATATAGAATTATAATACATTATGTTATTGAAATTACGAAGTTTGAGGTACATTGATAAAACATTTTTTAAAAATTTCAAATAATTCATGTTTAATAAAAACTAAGAGGAATTTTTAAAATTCAAGCACACCCAAATGTTGGGAAAGCGATCCTTATAAGGCTAATAACGATTCTTGAGTATAATTTCTTTGGTACACTAAACAGGAATGGATCTTGATGGGTATTACATTAAGAATCGTAGAAGCTGGAATAAGAAATATTGTCGATTGCCAGAGCGATATGGGATGAGAAACTCAAGTTGCACATTGGAGGAGAAGTTGAAAATTGAGACTGGCTTCACTTTAAGGCAGGTTATAGAGAAGTCTATATACAACGAAAAATATTTCTCTGTCTCCTTAGTGCCTTACTCTTTGGATTGTGCTAATATCTAATTGTCTTTCAGAAAAGCAGGTTTTCCTTTTAGATTCCTTAAAAAAATCGTTTGCAAATGCACTAAGCAGAAGGAGAGCTATGAGCTATAACTTTCTCGATATACATCTCTATATCCTGCTTCAAAGTGAAGATAGTCCCGATGTGCACCTTCAGCAATCGAAAATAAAGTGGTTTTTACCATAATAAACCTACATCGTCCACTTAATATTATCCAAACTGCAATTGACCTCCTTTTAGCAGCATCTTGAAATATTCTCTTCATCTGTCTACTATACATTCGTTTAGCCATATAATGGATACTGGTACTTTTTATCTTTTCCGAGGTTTTGGCACTTCTTTTCTCGTTCGCTTAATGTATTTTTCCAGTTTTCGGGTTCAATTTCGCCTTTTTCCTCATTTCAAGACCAAATCCAAACAATCAGTTCTGGCTTATAGAAGAACTCGCCGTTTCTATCTTTCTTTGTGCAGAGAGAATAATTCATTCAATAATAAAATTTCCTATTTATTTATGATATAGTCCAACTTCCGCACAAAATAAAGGAAATAAAAATTAATTTTTTAATTAGTGATATATGAGTTTTACTATACAACCCAGCAGCTATTCATTATATATAGTTCAGATTAGGTATATATTATTTTAGTTTATAAAACAGGTATTAATACGACTCATTTCCTGGGAAGTATATATAAATTTTAATTACCTTTAAGAATCAGTAAATATCCAAAACACAATGTTAAATTGCAAACGTTAAATAAAAAAAAATCAAGATATTTAGCAAAGTTTTTAAATTAAATTTTATTATTATAATTATATCATTTTTACAATCAAGGTCTTCTTAAACGACCTACGTGTAGAATAAAGAAGGTTAAATAAAAAAAAAATAATAAATTTTTTTAAAAAATTTGAATTTTTTCTTTTTTTACAATTAAATTATTGCATTAATATTTGTTCGTTAATAAAACCAATATAATGTACCAAAAATGTTATTATATCACTTAAACTAAGCCATTTATGTGTACTGAATGGTGTGGTAGAGCCTGTAGGCACCCACGCCAGTACCGCTTTTCTGCCGCATAAGTGCATTTTCTACGGAACTGTTCAAAAGTTTTTAAAAAATAATTAGCGTTTCGGAAAGAAAAATATATTCTCCAGATGGTTTATTTCAGCACGTTTTGCGTTATTGTAGGCCGTTTAATTACAAATGACGCTTGATTTTTAACTTGAAAATTTTTTTGTTAAAATAATTGACTTTAGTAGTGTTTTTCATAGCCTAAGCCAATTATTTTTTAATATTTCTTCATGGTTTATTATTCTATGACTATTCAGCTTTAATAAAAGACCAACTATGAGGAAATTAAGCCAAATGCTGATTCACAGTGACCAAAAAACTAACTAAAGTCAAATCGTCAATCTGCCATCTTTGGACGCCATTTTGGGGCAGTGCGTTCACTTTTTTTTGTGGGAACATTGGCTTTTTTTTAATAAATAGTTACAAGGAACACAACGATATGCAATTTATAGGGATGTGGGGGGGGGGATGCACGGTAAGGGGGTCTGGCCCACCGTGTATTGTTTCGACCGATTTAACCACACCAAACTCTTCTAGTGCTCAATCATTTTTCAACCGCTGAATTTTTGTAACCAAAGAGGGCGAAATATTTCATATCACCAACTAATTATTTTTAAAACTGTCGACTTGATGAATCATTTAAAAGATTATTGTTGGGCGCGTTGATATTTATAGTCTTCTGAGTCGACATGGCTCATTTAAAACGTTCAACAATAAGATGGAGTAAAAATAGTCAAGCCATTGAAGTGGCTGGCTACCATCCATTAGCCAGATTATAATTAATTGAATTATTTACTACAGTAGATTAGTTTGTTGCCTACTCACGAAATTAATATTACATATTTTTATGTATGGACCTAACATAGTTTATTACTTTTTTAATTTCGAAAATTAGTCCTAGTTAATCTTGATTCAAATACATAGAGCACATTATTATAGCATAAAGATTCTAGAAACAGTTCTGTTTAAGAAACAAAGAAATATAGTTATCTTATATTTTCAAATATATACCCGCATTTAAAGCCCACCAATTTAACTATTTCTTATCCATCCAGTTCTTAAAAAAATGTAAATAGTTATCTGTAATGAGGTATGTAAATTATTTGTTACTTTTAATTTTTTCTTATGTCTTACTTGCATAATAATTTTTTACTAAGATCTATGAAATTATAACTTACTGAACGTTTTGGACAGAACTAGTAGATGTTTCTAGAAATTTAAAAATATTGGTTTAAAACAATATTAGATTATTGATATAAAAGGCTGAATAATTGGCCCTCCAATGTAGTATTACTGTTATGCATTCATATTTTATTGTATTAATTGCTTTGTTGGATTCATCCCACCTCATTACTAGTAGTTGCTTTATTACATAAATTAGATTCAAAACCAAGATCTAAAAAAAAATAAATTTGTTGCTCAATATTCCTAGAAAATGTCATTATTTTCCAAAATAGTTGCTGCCTAAATTGGAAATGTGAGGAGATTCAAAACACAAACATTCTCTATTAGCTGAGATTAATCCTAATCCATCTTGTAATTAATTTCGTGCTTCTAGAGTACAGTTTAGAGTTAATCAAAATATGAAACATTATAATGCTGTCATATAATACAAAAGGTGAATTCATAGAATTCACTTTACATCATTCATAAAAAAAAAATAGAATTTATTTTTTGTAGATTTATTTTATTAAAAAAACTATTCCTCACCTTAGGGTTAACATATTCATTGCAGAATGAGTTGGAATAGTTTCTCAGAAATAGCTTTTTTGTTCAATAAATAATTATCAATTTGTATTATTGTAAATAACTATAAACATTTAGGAATGCCACCCATCAATGGGTAATTTCCATTTGGCTTTCAAAATTATATTCCACTATAAGCACGTTGGTGAAAAAAATCTTGACATTTCTTTTGTTGTTTATACCTTATGTTAATTCATACCGTATTTAATTTTTTTCAGAACAATTACATCAAAACTTCTAAGTACTCACTGCTCACATTCATCCCGCTCAACCTGTTTGAGCAGTTCCAGCGGTTGGCCAACTTCTATTTCCTCTGCCTTATGGTCCTGCAGATGATAAATGTCATATCTTCACTTACTCCGATCACTACAGCTGTTCCTCTCATTGGTGTATTGTGTCTCACAGCGATCAAGGACGCTTATGATGACTTTGTAAGTATTGTATTATAATCAGTCTAGTTAAAATATTTTGGTAATCTGTAGTACAACCTGCTCTTTTTTTCTATTATTTATTTTTTTTTTATAATGTAATTGAAGTTTCTAGCTATACATTTTCAATAGTTTTTTTTTCTTTTCTGTTGGCATTACAGACTATATAGATCTTTTGCCGCCTTAACAAGCCTGCTCCATCTCTGCCTGTCTTGGGCTATTTCTTTCCATTTATCTGCACGCATCTGTATTGTATCTTTGTTAGTTCTATCTATCCATCTGCTTTTTGGCCTTCCATGTGGTCTTTTGCCTCCTATTGAGGCATTCATTGTTACTTAGAGGCTTCCAGATGGATTGCTCCAAGCTACATACTCCGCCATCTTAACCTCAGTGCCTTCATATCATAGGATATTGATTGACCAGTTTCTGTAAGCAATTCTTTATTGGTCTTTCTTCTCCATGTGCTAGTACTCTGGTTCCAGATAGCTCCGGTTATCATGCAGAGGATTTTGCTCTCAAATCTTTTAACACTTTTTTCTAGAGTGCTGGTTGTGTCCAGGTCTCACAACCATATATTAAAACTGGCTTTATCATAGCATTGTATTATACTGAATATTTTTTATACTGATGTAATATTGGGATGTAAACTAAGTTCAAATCTTGAGAAGTTCAAAAACTTTCATATTATTTTTTGAATCCTCTCTCTTTGGTAATCTTCTATCTCCCTTTGAATTATAATTTCCGAATCAATTAAATATTTGTAAATTATAATTTTATTACATTTTATATTGGTTATAATATAAAAAAAGGTATCCATTATTTTTAACAAAACTTTTATTTTTTATTTTAAATGATTATGACCAAACTAACTAGGTTGCAGTACCATATGGTACATTAGTGTTGGCATGATTTTCATTGGATTTGATCAACATCAGGCCTGACAGAAGAACTAAAATCACAAATGAGCCAACTATAAAAATCAACTTCAATTCTTCTCCTTTCTACCCATTTCCATTTTGGTTGAACTAAAAAAATATTTTAATATGTTTTAAAAATTTTAATTTTTTAAACAATTTAAAAAAAAATTCCATTTTTAATACTTTTATTCATTTTTTTTAGCAAAGACATGTCAGTGACTCCCAGGTTAACAACAGAAAGGCACTGGCTGTCCGTGATCTTAAACTTGTGGAAAGTAAATGGTCACAGGTCAGGGTGGGAGATGTTATCAGGATGGAGAACGATCAGTTTGTTGCTGCTGACGTTCTTCTTCTCAGCACAAGTGAACCTAACGGTCTCTGTTTTATTGAAACTGCTGAGTTGGATGGGTAATTTTTGTCATATTATTCTACACTAGATACATATATATACAAACACACATACATATTTATAAATTCATTAACTTTTTTTTTTCTTTTAGAGAAACAAATTTAAAATCAAAAGTGTGTCTAGTTGAAACTGCTGATATGGGACAGGATGATGGTCTACTTGGAAGTTTCGATGGTGAAATAATCTGTGAACCTCCAAATAATTTGCTCAACAAATTTGATGGTACTTTGATGTGGAAAGGGAAAAGGTAATTTGATGTATTGATTTACTAAAGAAAAATTATCTTCCAGGATGGCTTACCAAGGTTAAAATCATGTGACACTAAATTAAAATTAATTTTTTTTTTCTCTCTCTTCATCCTTTAACCCTTTGACAGCGGGAGCTCATTCGATTGTTCCCTTTAGATGGTGTGTTCAGAAATCCAAAAAGACATTAGAAAAAATGGATTATTTTTTTGTATTCTGAAAATAAGAAAGGAAGATATGTCATATGTATATATATAAAATAGAAAAAATGTAATATAAAATTAATGTCCGCATGGATTGATAAGTATGCTGTGTACGAAGCAACTCTATGTAGTAGGGCAGCATTACTTTTAATAAAGTATTTCTCTCTTGTTTAAAATACTATTTTGATTCACTCTACAAGATCTTAACTATCAAAAATGCATTTTTACCTTTTTATTTAACTTTTAATAAATGGGATATATGCATTCCTGGCCACACATAGCAATGCAAAATTAGAGCGGCAATCCCGCAACATTTCACTTTCTTGTGTATTTGCTCATTTCTGAAAAACAAAATAACTGAAAATTATCAAAAAAATAACGGTAAGTGCTCACTCGGGCGAGAAGGCATATATCCGGGTCGCACCAGTTACCCATCTCACTGCCCGGAAGGCATATATCCCGTTCACACCTGTGACCCAACTCCTAATGGGAAAGTATGTATCCCGCTCGCAGTCAAAGGGTTAATATATACAGATGCTATAAAAATTACATTATCATCTTATAATATATTTGAAAGTAATTAGTTCATAAAATCAGCTAACATTATACAGGGCAAGCAAATATTATTCTTTTAAAATATTTATACAAAAAAAAAAAAGCAATGTGCCATGAGTTTCCTAACTTTGCATAAAACTTTTTCTTTTCTTTCAATAAGTTTTCAAATAGTTTTAGTTTTAAAATGTTAATCATTTTTATATCTCTAATTTTTATTTTTTAATGAATGATTATTAAATCATTAAACTTTTATTCTTTTAATGATTATGATGAATATTTGTAGTAATTTAAAATAATTTCAGGTATCCTCTTGATAATGACAAAATCTTGCTCAGAGGTTGTGTTTTAAGAAATACTGATTGGTGCTATGGTGTCGTCGTTTTTGCTGGGAAGGACACCAAGCTTATGCAAAATTCAGGGAAAACAAAGTTTAAGAGGACAAGTATCGACAAACTCTTGAATTTTATCATTATTGGGGTAAGGAAATATTTTTTAAAGTTAATTTTAATAATATTTGTATCAAGTAAATATGTCAATATTTATATTATTTTTTTAATTTTCAGATTGTATTCTTTCTCATTTTAATCTGCTTATTCTGCATGGCTGCATGTGGTATTTGGGAAACCATGACAGGAAGATATTTCCAACTGTATTTGCCTTGGGATAAACTCGTCCCTAGTCATCCAGTCAGTGGTGCAACAATCATATCGTTACTTGTATTCTTTTCCTATGCTATCGTGCTCAACACTGTAGTGCCAATTTCACTTTATGTCAGGTACTTATATTTTCTTTAACATGCATTAGAATCACCTGTTACATTTACAAGAATGTCCTCCACATCATAGAAATTTCTCGTCATATGAAACATGGCAAAAAAAAAAATGATAATAATAAAGTCATTGTCTCATTTTATTTTAAAAAAAAGTAAATTTTATTTAATTGTAATTTTTAAAAAAATTATATTCAATATATATTTATAGGATAACTAGAACAAATTAATAATCTCAGAATTGCATAAAATTAAGCTTTTTCCTCAATTACTTGAACCATACATTGTTAGTGAAAGTTATTAAAAACACTTCAGCAATCCTTTTTTAAAGATTTTTCATAACAAATTAGTAATAAAATAATCAAGAGACAGGACATAAATGTTAGGTTATTATTAGAAAAATTCCAACCACACTGCCTTATGACTTCGAAATTCAGGCAAAAAAATCCCGTCAACGTTTCGCCAATTCAGACATCATCAGGACAGAAAAACAGCTAATTGAACATCACTCCATGAAATCCAATCGCATGCTCAAGGAGTATGCAGGGGAATTTTTTCAATAATAACCTAACATTTTTTTTTGACATTATTTGGTGATTAATGGTACAATTTTAGCTTACATTATAGGAACTTACTGTATTTGTGTACGCATATATTTTTTCTTTATATTTATTTTTTTTATTTTTCAGTGTCGAAGTTATAAGATTGTTACAAAGTTTTTTAATTAATTGGGATGAAAAAATGTATTGTGAAAAAAGGCAGATGTCAGCAAAAGCTAGAACAACTACACTAAATGAAGAGTTAGGTCAAATTCAATATATATTTTCAGACAAAACTGGAACGCTAACCCAAGTAAGATATAAAATATTTATTAATTCTACTCCTTTCTAATCTCTATTGTAAATAATGCTAATGTGTTTTTAATTTTTTCAATTCATTTTTTTTTTTTTTATAGAATATAATGACTTTCAACAAATGCTCTATTGCCGGAAAGAGTTATGGAGAAGTTATAGATAAAGTCACAGGAGAAGTGTTAGAAGTAACTGATGTGAGTATATCATTTAGCTGTACTAAAATCACAACGTCCCCTTATTAAAATTTCAGTAATTGCGATGTTGCCTTTCTCCTGCCAGTTATTCAATTAGATTTTACAAATTATAATAATTTCAAATTTAATTTCAGGATACAGAGACTGTAGATTTTTCCTTTAACAAAGACTATGAAGAAACTTTTAGGTTTTTTGATAATACTCTCTTAGAAGCTGTAAGAAGTAACAAAAATGGTGATGTAGTCCAGTTCTTCAAAGTATTAGCTCTTTGTCATACTGTTATGTCTGCTGAAAAAAATGGTAAAGCATAACATAATTATATGTATTATTATATCATAATTTTGTATATATGTGTATTTACTATCAGTATTGATGCTGTTGCAATTTATATATTTAATTATCATATATTCATTATATAAGTTTGTATTACATGAAATATTTTTCGGAATGAAAAATAGTATTTTCAGAATAATATTAATGTGGCCCAAAAGAATATAATCTAATTTTTATTTATTATTCATACTAAATTTAGAAATAAATAATTGAATTATCGGAAGGCATTTTGTGTAGGAACGCTTTTTAGAAAATGTTTTAGCGCTGATTAGTCACTGTGATATCTCATGGGATCCAAGTTACCTAAGATTGAATTTAAGATTTCACTTGGTGAATTTAGAAATAGATTACAACTGAATGCTCAGGAAAATTAGTCCATGTTTATATTTCAAAATGACAGTTCTGCTCTTACTAATTTACAACCAGTTTACGACAATCAATTGTTTGTTTACACTCACTACCCTTTAAATTGACTTTTAACTTACAGTTTAAAATAGATTATTTTTTCATGTGTAATAAAATGATGAAATTAATATGATAATTTTAGTACAAAATTTGCTGTACAATATTTTCTGATTGAAGTAAATTTGCTCTTGAATTACCACATGGTATTTAATTTTATCAACAAAAAAATCAGTTTTCGAGAAAAGTAATAAAAACGAAGGATGATTACATTAATTAGGTGCATGTATCAGAAGTCTAATCATTCCTCAAAGTATATTCTATTAATGTTACCGTGAATGTTTTTAAATCTGACTCTACTAAAAACTTCGTACATTTTTCGAATCTTCCTATAACTTATCTCATTTTCCATTAGCCCCATTATCAATCAGCATATGCAACGTTATAAATCAATTCCCAATTTCTAGGAAGTCTATAACAGTAATGAAAATTCATAATACAAATATGTGAATTGAAAGCTGGTGGTAAATTTTTTATCATATGTGAAGCGTTAATAACGATATTGAAGATGATTTTTTTTTTTTCTTTAAAACTACTGACATCAAGCATATGAAAAAGCATAACTTTTTAGTGTCATTCCAGCATTCAACCTTAATAAGTCAAAACAAGAAACAGCGGTTTAGCAGTAACTGATTAGACTAAGCATACAATTTGTAGAGGGCTTATTTACAGATCTTATTATTTTTTAATGTTTGTCCTATATTAAACTATTTTTTCCCTTTCTGTTTTCATTGTGATATTATATAATCTCTCATTAATAAAAAAAAAATTTATTTTGTTAAAAATAGGTATTTCTTTTGTTATAATACTACTCCCTCTTTATATCAAATCCTTGTTATGCTACACAAATTTATAGTAAATAATTTTTATGGATTTGATGAAATAATTACATTTTTATCCTTAGGAAAGTTAGTTTATCAAGCTCAGTCACCAGATGAAGCAGCTCTTGTTTCGGCAGCGAGAAATTTTGGCTATGTTTTTAGAGAACGAAGTCCTAATAGCATCACTATTGAGGTTGGAATATTGCATTTAATATTATTTGTTTTTGTTTTGTTTTTCTTAAAAATTATACTATATCAATATCCATTCTATTCTGGCATTACAGGTGTTAGGAAAGAAGGAGGTTCACGAACTATTGTGTATATTAGATTTTAATAATGTTAGGAAACGAATGTCTGTGATATTGCGCCATAATGGAAAATTAAGACTGTATTGTAAAGGAGCTGACAATGTTATTTATGAAAGATTAAAACCTGGAGATAATGAACTTAAAAGGGCGACTCAGGAACATTTGAATGTAATTATTATTATTTTAATTTTTTATTTCCATTACAACACTAACAATGTTTCAAAATAAGCAGTGTCTTTTTACAAGTATAAATATATTGTAGTAAACTATATAAAACATATTGGCTGTCCAATTCCAAAATTACTTATCTGTAAATTTTGCTGTCTTTCGGTTCGTGATTTTCTGTTTAATTAACATTTTTTTTATAACAGTGAATAATAATTACAACGTAATTGAAGTCCTCAAAATGTATTTAACAAGATACAATTAATTTGAATAAGAAATTAGCTACCTTAAATCTTCAACAATAATTGTTATCCCAATAGTCATAATTTGACACATATTTTCAGAAATGCTACTCCCGCATTGCACCAATACTATAAAATTATTTGCTTAATGTTTTTTTTTCTTTCAATATTTAAAAAAAAATATAAAACTGTAAAGTATATAAAAAAATAGCTAATTATCACTATTTAAAGAAATCTTATTTAACTGAGCTGGTTATAGTCATTTTTTTTCCTAATTTTAGTTATTCACTTGACTTTGGATGTTTCCATTTACTATGTATTATAGTAATTATGCTAGAACATCAATGAAATTTTCTTTTTTTTTATGTTGTACCAATGAAATACATATATATATATTTTTTTAAATTCTATATGCTAGATCACTTGCTCTTCTTGTCATAACTTAAGCATTTAAAGTCACTTTAGTGAAAATTTTATTAATTCAGTGATTGATATTCGCAGATGAATTAAATTAAGAAATAGTATTAGAAATTTAATAAATTAACTTTTAATCTAAATAAGTAGTTTTTTATTATTAGTTATTGTTAATTATTATTTTATTATTAACCTGTGAATAACACATATAATCATGTATAAAAAATAGTAATTAATAGTTACCAAAAATTTAGAAATTTGCTGGAGATGGGCTGAGAACATTGTGCCTCGCAGTGAGGGATTTGGATGAGAAATACTTTAATCAATGGAAAGCGAGGCACCATGAAGCTGCACTTTCTTTAGACAACAGGGATGAAAAATTAGATGCCATCTACAATGAGATAGAAAATCACATGACTTTAGTTGGTAATGAAAGATAAATTATAAAAAAATTTAATATGTTAGCGTGTATATATAGCTTGACCAATTATTATAGACTGTCTACACTCTTCCAATCCATTCCTGTTCCTCTACTCTTCCTCAGTTTTGCACTCAGTAATTGGCGAAAGTATATCTTGTTTATTTATTAACATTCACTAAAATTTGTTAGAACTTTATTCATTAGGTGGTATAAAATAAAAAAAATCAATGAGTAATATATTCTTATATATAATATATACTAATATTGGAAAACTTTTTTAATTTAATTTAGTTTTAGTAAGTGGCACATTATTAACCACTTCCTTTTATTGGTAGTGAACAATACTCATTCACATATCTTGAGTTCACTGTTTTGGAGAAAATTCCCCATCTTCAGGAATACAATGTGTAAATAAATAGTTTATGTTCTCCCAGAGGTCAGGGTGGCCAAGCAGGCTATGGTGTAATGTAACGTGCAAAACACATGTTTGAGTCCTGGTGCAGGGGGGATTTTTAAGTCTAGCATTTATCTCTCCCCTTTTCTGCTAGTCAGGGAAAAATCCGATATAGCTGACAGGCGAGAAAAAGAAAAAAAAGTAGATATTCTTCCTTTTATCAATCATTGCACATTAAAATAATTTATCATTATATACATCACTGCCTGTTATAATATATGAAGTAATACAAAAACTTAACTAACAACTAAAAAATTACAAACTTTTTTCTTGGTTATGCCCATGATCATATAAAACATTACTTAATTCCCTTCAAAAGGGAAAAAAAAAATATCATCCAAATCGATTAGAAATTTTTCCAATATTTTTTAAAAATGTTATTATTTATTTTTCTTATTTTCGATTAATATTCATTGGGAGAGCTCCATTATAGCCCATTTCATTTGAAAATAACTATATATTTCGCATATAGCTATAGTATGAGTACAACGTTGAAATAATTTTTATTGACTGAAGGAGGAAAGTGGGTTCAAATATATTTTTTTTAAGGAAAATAGAGTTGGGATTTGTATTTGCACCTCTATAAAGCCTCAAATACAAATTTTCATAGAAAGAAAAGAAACTTTATTTGCTAATAACTAAAAAATTATACACTTTTCATTGGTTATGCCCATGATTATATAAAAGATTACTAAATTCCTTACAAAAGGAAAAAAATAAATCATCAAAATCGGACAATCTTTAGCAAAGTACAGCTTATTGAAATTTGTAAACACGTTTGTTCCAAACATTAATGAAGTTTTAAATTAATTTTTGTTTCCTTTGTTGATATTTATCGATAAAATAACAATTGATTTCTTTATCCTATAATAAGTTGCATTATTTTATTTTCTTATTAATTTTCCATTTGATCACTTAACAATATAATATACTGTAACAATTTTTCGCACGGGCATGCTAGTTTATAGGAATTTCATAAATATAATTATTTGAAATTTTTTTTTCAAAAACAGAAAAGTATTGTATGTCTCCCCTCCTTCCCCCATAATTTTAAGTACCAATTAAATTCGGTATTAATAGTATATTTAATAGTTTCTTTATTATTTCCAATTTTAGGAGCAACAGCAATTGAGGACAAATTGCAAGAAGGTGTTCCTCAAACAATAGCCAGTTTAAGTGCTGCGGGTATCAAAATTTGGGTCCTCACTGGAGATAAACAAGGTATATTTATAATTTTGTTTTTATTTTGCTGATTTTATTTGACAGTGTTGAACATATCAATAATTAAGTTGTTTTGTGTTGCAATATTATAAGACCTATATAATTCCCTTCAGTGATCAATATGGTATGGTATATATTAGGTTTTTAATATATAAGAAATTACTAGGCAGTTTAACAACCCTTTTAGAAGGTTAAAGGTTATAGATTTATATATGACTAACTAAAGTCATTATTTAAATATGAGTTACAGAAATTTCATTGCATTCAGCTATTATGTAACTGAGATTGTTTGATTTTCATTGAATTTGGCATGTTATGCCTAATTGATATGCAAAGAAATGTTAAAAATAATTACCTAGTAATAAAATTTGTCTTTTTTGTTATTTTTTCTATAATTTCTATTAATATAACTATTAATATTAGTTTCAAGAAACTTTATCTGCAATTTCAGAAACTGCTATAAACATCGGCTATTCATGCCAACTGCTCAGTGATGAAATGGAAGTCATGATAGTTGACGGTCATACAGTGGAAGAAGTGACAAAACAATTGGCAAAATGTCGTGATACACTTCTCCTTGGAGGCCACCCAATGGCACAACATAACAACAACGCACATCACCCACCAGCTATTTCAGTAGTAACTTTTACGTAAGTTATAATTTGTGTAATCCTTGCCCTGTATCCTTGATTAATCTTCAGATAATAGCTGTATTTTAATTTTCAGGGAAACGGATTACCATAAGCCTGATATTGAGGAAGATACTAGTTTATTATTTGCACTGGTCATGAATGGACACTCTTTAGTTCATGTATTTCATCCACAAGTTGAAAAAATGTTTTTAGAAGTTAGTACAATGTGTAAGTTATCATGTTATTCCTGTTCTGTTATATTTTTTATTAAAGATTGGTTAGTTACTATTTTTTTAAATTTATTTTTATTACAGGCAAATCAGTTATATGTTGCAGAGTAACTCCACTACAGAAAGCCATGGTCGTGGAACTCATTAAAAAGACCAAAAAAGCAGTAACTCTAGCTATTGGAGATGGTGCCAATGATGTTTCGATGATAAAAGGTCTGTAAAAGAAACAGTTAACGTTGTAAACCATATGAAAGAAATATAAATAAACTTGAAGAAAAGTAGCACATAAATTTCAAACCTTGTTAAAAACAGTTTGAAAAAACAGTTCAAATTTTAATGTACCCTTCTCTCTTTCTATTTTTTGTGACTATGGCAAAATATTTATTAATAGAATTTGATTTATTTATTTTATTTATTGTTACATTCCGCATCTACCCGATCGGGTCATTAGCGGCTAATATTAATAGAATTGAAATATATTAAATGATGCTGAGACCAGCGGTTCTCAAACTCTTTACCTTCTTGTACTATAAAAAAATTCATAGCAACCTCGTCGGACTAACAATAATTCATAGCACATTTATTCTTAAAGATGTAATATAATATTTAACCTTTTCTAATTCAATGTACACAAACTAAATAAAGTCCAGATATAATTTGGAATTTGATTGATTTTAATTTTATTAATTTTTAATTTTGATTGATTTTAATTTTTATTCCGTTTTTAATAAATTTGAGTATTTAGAATATCCATTCATAGTCCTGACACAGACCTCTGTTTATCAAATTATTAACATCCGGCTGAAACTTTGTAAATAGCTTTATTTCATCGTAACCTACAAACATTTTATTTATGAAAATTTGCAGAATTGGGATGGTTTTAATCTGGAGGTCGGCAAACTTTGTCTAGTTAATTAGGTACTAAAAACACGTAAATACCCATTTTCTTTCCACTTGAATCGTAAGATAACTTGAGCACGAAGTCGTGAAAAAAGGGGCCTTCAAAAATATTGAGCGATTTGGGATGACCTACACTCCCAAATTGTCAAAATAACAAGGTTATGTACAACGGCCCAATATTTTCTTATGCCACCTTTTTTATCAATTTTGTGATCAAATTATCTTACAATTCAAGCGGAAAGCAAATGGGTATTTACGAGTTTTTAGTACCTGATTAAATAGACAAAGTTTGTCAGCCTCTAGATTGAAAACGCTCCAATTCTGAGAATTTTCATAGATAAATCATTTGTAAGTTACGATGAGATGAAGCTATTTACTCAGTTTCAATCCAATGTTAATTATTTGATAAAAAGGAGTCTGTACCATGGACTATCACCAAATTGACTATTTCTATCTTTAATGTTAAATATTCAAATTAAATATTACTGACACCTCTGCAGCACCCAGTTTGAGAATCCCTGGCTTAGACAATGGAACATAAATCGCAAAGAACTACATGGTCAATCTAATCTGACTATGGGATATGGGTGCTGAACAGTTGAATCATCCAATGAGGATTAGTGATTGAAAAATAGATTTGGAAGATAGTGTTAGGTTTGATCTTTAAGGTTAAGGATTTTTTTGGTGTTTGATAAAGTGATATATATTAACAATAATCGTTCTAGAGATTAGTAATAATTGTTTTTGGGATCTTGGTAATATAACGATTGCCTGCATCAAACTGCCACATTTTCGTAGTCTTATTATTAATTAATAATTGAATTTATATTTTATATTGAAATTTTATTTATTATTAAATATATAGAATAGAATAGAAGAATCACCTTTATTCTGGGACAAAGTCCCTTAAGAATAACAATATTGTTCATAAAAATTAACATTACATCTGGCTAGAATACATATTACAATAAAAGAATAACTAAAGTAGATAAATATTTACAATAAATGATTTACATCTATAACTTAATATGTTCAAATGAATACTTATAACAGTATTGTAAAAGTATTATATATATATATATATATATATATATATATATACTATACTTGTAGGTTAGGAATTCACATTATTATAATAATAAAAACCTCATTTTGATCAAAACAGTCCTACTTTATTTTTATTTTTTACAACGATATTTCATCCCTTGAAAATGGCCTAAGGGCAGATGTAAGGGGGTGTAAAAAATAAAATAAAATAGTGTTGTGATCAAAATGAGTGTTTTTATTGTATTAATGATGTAGAAATAATAATTGCATCAGGTTAATTAAACACTTCAATATATTTTATCTATTTAATTGTATCCATACCAAATAATAGTACTGATTCTGTTTATTTTCTGTATAGCTGCCCATATTGGAATAGGAATAAGTGGCCTAGAAGGAAACCAAGCAATGTTGGCTTCAGATTATTCTATCGGGCAATTCCGATTCCTTGAGCGATTATTATTAGTTCATGGAAGATGGTCTTATTATAGAATGTGCAAATTTTTAAGATATTTTTTCTATAAGAACTTTGCATTTACTCTTTGCCATTTTTGGTATGCATTTTTCTGCGGCTTTTCTGCTCAAGTAAGTATATATCACAATGTTTTTGTATAATATGATATATTTTTGAGTATTGCTACTTACTATATTGATTTATTGCAGACGGTATTTGACCCAATGTTCATCGCAGTTTATAACCTATTTTATACATCTTTGCCGGTCCTCGCTATAGGAGTTTTCGATCAAGATGTAAGTGATAAGAGCAGTATTATGTATCCTCAACTCTACACTCCTGGTCATACCAATTTGTTATTTAATAAAAAGGAATTTTTAAGAAGTGCTTTATACGGTTTTTATACTTCTTGTATATTATTCTTCATTCCTTATGGTATGTTTAACAAAATTATATTTTAATAATATATGGTAAATTATTTGAAGGATGTATTATTATTTTAAATTAAATTTCAGGTACATATAAAGATGCAGTTACTTCAAGAGGGCACGTTCTTTCTGATCATATGCTAGTCGGGAGTGTTGTTGCTACTATTCTAGTCATTGTAGTTACTGCTCAGGTTAATATTTTTAAATAAATGCTTTATTAATTTATTTATTTTTTCATTTTTCCTATATTTTAACCGTGAAATAAATTTTCAGGTTGCCCTTGATACATCCTACTGGACTGTTTTTAATCATATAACAATCTGGGGCTCACTAGGATGGTATTTCATGTTGGATTATTTTTACAATTATATTATCGGAGGTAGTTACGTTGGCTCCTTAACAACGGTATGTTTTTTTAAACAGAATATTCTTTAATTGCACTATCTTTTGTTATTGACATTAATAGATTTAATTAAATGAATGATTACTCTTTTAACATGTTTTTGTATAATTTCTTTATTTTATTAGTAACTATCCCTAATTCTTGTTATATTAATAAATGTGACTGATTATCTTACTCCTTTAGAGAAAAACTCACTTTATTTCAAATTCAATCACTATAAATATAAACTGTTTATTTATTGAAATAGCTTCTCGGTTACACTCAGGAAGTTTTTTTTGTGTATACATATATATAATATTACTATATTTTTCTAATCGACCTTTATATATTATAACTTAAGATAGTAATTATAGTTGGATAATAGGTCATGAACTACACTTCAATTAACTAAAACAGCTCCTAATTATTCTTTTTATTCAAAACGTTTCGATCCTTGTTTTTTTAAAATAAATAATGTGATCCTCTTCAGTTCTGAAAAAACAATACCCATCATCGGTACAACAAACAAAAGTTTTCATACATTTTAACAATAATCTTAAGTTTATCTTACTTTCTTTAATTTGAGCATCGACATCCCAAGCCGGACAGCATGCTGAAGCCACAAGGGCATCAGCTATTGGGAGGCTGCAACGCGCACCCTGATCCTGGAGTCCGAGAATAATACCAATACAACAATAAAAGTGTATATAACAATCTCTTTTTGTGATTAAAACATTAAAATTGCTAAAAATAGTGAATTAAAACAAACTTACATATATTTTAAACCAATGTCAATTTTCTAAATCTTAAATCATATAATAATAACATAAAATATACACGGCCAGTCATTACATACAATAAGGTTGTTTTATTTTTATATTATTGTATCCCATTATTTATCTTTAAAACAGGGATCGAAACTTTCTGAATAAAAAAAATAAACAGGAGCTGTTTTAGTTTATTGAAGTATATTTCATGACCTATTATCCAACTATGATTACTTTCTTAAGTTTTATATATATATATATTCATGTGTGTTTATATATTATTTTTTTTTGCCTGTTAAATCAATAAATAAAAATACACAAAGTTTTGAGTTTTTGAAGAAAGCACATTTTTTAATAATAGATTTGTTTACCAATTAATAACATTTTAATATTGTTTGTTTCTGAAGGCTATGAGAGAATCTACTTTTTGGTTTACTACTGCCCTTACCCTTGTCGTTTTACTTGTGCCTGTCCTAGCATGCAGATTTTTCTTCATAGACGTGTTCCCTACATTGTCGGACAGGATAAGATTAAAACAAAGACTTGCTAGTATAAGGTAATTTATTTTGTCGTATTAGTTATATTTAAGCTTTCAGCTATTTTTGGATTTATCTATTTAAATTTAAAACATTTAGCAGAATAAATAAATTTGTTCAGGTTTTATAAAAAAAAATTATCTAATTTTAATCATTGTGAAGTAAAAACAATTATGTCTGATTCCTGTAAGTTAAGTTTATTTAATTATAGTTGTTTTATATTATTGATCATGAATTAATATTATTTGCTTAGAAATAATAATTTGAGATTAGTATGCAGTCCTATTTAATGAATTTTCATTCTGTATTTGAATCTGGGAACAAAATAGGCCAATGTCAAAAAGTTTTACTTCGCTATTGCAAATCACTTTTCATATATGATTTTGGTTAAAATGGGTGTTACCGGTTGGATTATTTATTTGTGTACATTTTTGCAAACATATACTAAGTCCAAAGTTAAAGAAAATGTGCTTCGATTACTCCAAGAAGCAGAAATAATGTTTAAATAAAGAAAATATTCACCTTTTATTGTTTGTATTAATTCCAATTAAATAAGTTCAATGTTGTCAGTTTTATTTGCGATGGGTAAAAAAACATGTACCTACTTATTTATTTATTTTAAAATGAGGTTGTAACTACATGATGATAGTTATTTACAGTGACAAAGCAATCATATGATTTTATTGAAACGTGATGTGGTAGTGAATTAAAAAAGACCCAAAATCAAAGTAGAATGTACATTGATTGTCTGAATAACAAATAATTGGATGTCTTTGCCATTTTCAAGATTTTATAAATATCTTCTGTGTAGTTCAGTTAAATTTTATTGTTTAGTAAACCTTTTTATTCTGAGGCACATAAATAATTTATCAAAGAAAAAGTATATGTTAGAGAACCGAAATTTCAATATCTTATTACTTCTTAAAATATCCCACTGGCATTGATTGAGTATATTAGTTTCTTTGCTGAATTATAATTACTTCTCACTTTCTTTTATCCTGTAAATCTTAAACAATTACAACCCATGAAAGGTTCTTCTTGGGTGCAGTGCTTAAGGAAAATTTTTTAACTATAGGAAATGATGTGCTTAGAATGTTTACCAAAACCAACCCGTTTAAGGTTAAAATCTTTACTATATTGAAGCTGGATCAACAAAACAGGAGAGTTTCCTGACATTATAACTAATCAATTATTTATAAATGCTTATTCCTTCCATTCTTCAACCTGATTGATTAATGTTTTACTTAGATATAAATCTATTGCTTATATTATATTATATATACCAATACATTTCATATTGAATTATTTCATTTGACTTTTGTTTTAATTTTAGAACTAAGCAAACTCAAGATATTTTAAGAACACCTTCAGCCAGAAAAGCAAGGAGATCGATAAGGTCAGGCTATGCTTTCTCGCATTCAGAAGGTTTTGGAAGACTAATTACCTCTGGAAAAATCATGAGGAAGCTACCTCGGTCGGATTTTCTGGGTTTCCATTCCCCGTCCGTGAGGCCTGGAAATGACCCAGCTCCATGACACGGTAACTAACTATTAAACTGCATTTAATTTTATTTATCAAGAACTTAGAATTTCTTTGTTAAGGTTTTTGCCGTTAGCCATTGAGTGTTGTATGTGTTATAAAACTTTATTTTGAGTATATGTTTCATATTTGAAATTAACAGTTTGAGTTCATGTTTTTAGAACTAATCTGGTTCATAGATTTTTATTTCCTTCAAATTGATGAATCTAGGGCTCATAGGGGGAGTTTTAATATCACCTACAAATAATGATACATAATGAATGATATGTTGTTACCTTAGAAACAATATGACAAACGTGTAGTATTAAGTCGGTTTTAGATATAATACAATTATCGACAGAATATGTTATTAATGGGCATGTAGCAAATTTATGTCAAATTAATCTAAAATTGATTGTTTGGCTGGAACAGTTATATATTCACAGTTATAAAATAGTTCACTAACTCCAGAAGAAATATATAATAGTTCCAGCTAAACAACCAATTTTAGAGTAATTTGACATAAATATATGATGGCCATTAATAACATATTCTATTGATAATTGTATTATATCTAATACAGACTTAATACTACACGTTTGTTATATTGTTTATATGACAAACGTGTAGTATTAAGTCTGCTTTGGATATAATACAATTATCAACAGAATATGTTATTAATTGGCATCTAGCAGATTTATGTCAAATTACTATAAAATTGGTTGTTTGGCTGTAACGGTTATATATTTCTTCTGGAGTTAGTGGATTATTTTAAATTAAATATTTCTAACAAGTTTGTTAGTAGTCAACACTGCTTCATCTTTAAGTCAGCCTGCTTATTATATTTATATGTGGGTCTACAGAAAATTTTAATTTCCTTGTTTCAATTTGAATTTATAATTTTCTTATATCTTAAAATGTCCTAAAAAGTTAAACCCTTTTTGTAAGGAGTATCGTATCATATTACTGTCAAATTGGCCTCTTACGGTTTTAACCAACATGAAATAAATGTTTTATTATGTTTTTTTCAGATTTGTTTTCAATATCCAGTTCATGTATAGAGATTGCTATCTGGCTTAAATTTATCCATAATTATTCATATTTCAATAATTTTATTAATTACTGTTTGCTAATAATAATGTATTGTCTCTAATTTCAGGGGAGGAGGGTGGGGGAAATCTACCACCAGTTATTCCAATGTATCTACCTTAATGGCAGATATTCCTCAGAAGACGGCTCCCACCCTCTTGTTTCTTCATTTATCATTGGACTTAAAATGATAATTATGAAGTCAATTAAATGTATATTTTTAAATACTAATTAATTTGAAACCGGAAGTGAAACTATTTTAACTTTGAAAGTAACAGTAGAAACTGTTAAGAAGATGTCAAATATACTTGACCTCTTCTTTTATCTGAAATCTTTCATCATTCACAGTGAATGTACTTTGTAACTTTAAACAATGTTCCTTGATTTTAAAGGAATTACGGACAAAATTTATTTAGGCCAATTTTTTATAAATAGTTTTTCTAACTTTGTCAATTTTAAATAAAGTTAGTTTTAACAAAGTATATTATGACATATCTGGTTTCATTTTAGTCAATACATATCTGTTGTAAATATAGTTAATAGATATCTGTAGTAATTTAGTTATTTATTTGTGATGGATGTCATTTGTTTTTGGAAATTTTAAACTTTTTCATCAATATGTGTCAAATGTCAGTTAAGTGAAATCCATCTTTTGTGTAAATGTATATAATAATAAAATTAAGGCAAGGGTACAATTAATGTATCCGGTGCTACAATTCTAAGAAGTATTATTGATACTGCATGTCTATATTTTTGTATTGTCTATATGAAAATTAATTTTTTGTACCAAAAAATATTGTACAGAAATACTTTAAATATATATATATATAGTTCATAAAAATCTTTTGTAAACTAGTTTTCATATAAAAGAGTTTTTGGCCAATGTTGATTTTTGTATAAAGTTTATAAACAATGTTACAAACTTTTAACATATTTTAAAACTGACTATATTACCAATGTTATGTATTTTTGTAAATATGTTGAAGTTATTTAAAAAACTTTTATTTTTAAAGATTTAAATTACATTTTGTTATTGTACCTCCAAAATATAACTACCATATCACTAGTTTTAATGTTGTTTCAATTTCCTTTAAAAAATATGTTGTTGTTTTTATTTAATTAGATAAATAAATCGGTTTATATCAAGTCTGTACTTGTTTAATCTTGAGTAGAGTAATAGAGGACAAACATAATTATTGATGGAAAGTTTGACATCAATTTCGAAGACTATATATTTGAAAAATAACTTGGACTTATGCCTGTTAATGAAAACAAAACCAAACTGTAAAAAGTGGTTAATGCCCCTAAATTGAAATTATTGATAATTATCAATATTTTTATTAAATACTTATCAGTGTCGTATTATTATTAGATCTGATAAATTTATTACCTACAATTAGTATAGGTAATAGGATTGTAATAGTTTGTAAGATACCACTAAAATAGATTATTATCATATTTGCAAGTGACTAATCCAACAGAGAACAGAATAATATATATTCATCAGAGATTCATTACACAATAGTTTTACAAAAAAAATAAGTAAAAGAATAGTCTATTTACAGCTCATTAATAATCTATAAAATGTTTAGCCTTACTTCTTGCTAACAGTTTTAAGAAATAAGACCAAAAGGAGAAGCAATTTGTCTAAACAACTCTCCTTTAGCTGTTTTCGTTATTTCACACTAATTAAAAGTCGGTGCTATGAGCTTTGCTCCCACCATTTGTCCAAGAGATTACAGCTCTTTATTAAATAACAGAGATAAATATTGAAGCAAGAAACTAAATTTTAATGGATTAAAAAAATTACAAAATAAAAAATTTTTTGTAAAGGCTTGATTTGATGCGGACAGCTTAACCTTACTTATTAAATATTATTATTAATTTCTTATTCTCTTCTCTGCCTTATAACCTGAAAAATTTACTTTTTATCTCTATTTTATCAACTTTTTTCTATTACTTAAATTAATTAAGTTATTACACTACATATAAATAATAATAACAACCAAAGAACTAATTGTGATTATTGAGTGTTTTCCCGATTATAAGATTTTATAGGTTTTTCCTTTATTTTAATAAAAAATATGGATTTCTCCAGATTTTTTTAGTTACTTAGTAGTTTACTTTTTTCATGACAAGTAATACTTATTGAGGTTTAAATCTATAATATTACTTATAATATAATATGTCGCCTACGGATAACTGGCCCAGTAGGAAAGAGCCTGTATCCTCGGGACAACTGGTCTTCTGAATATTTATGTCCCCTGAGGAGGAAGGGTGGCCAGGCTATTCCATACCCCTGGCACTGGGTTTATAACACGCAGATAAAGCAAAAATAATTTTATTAAAATCTTTTATTTCTAGTGTGAGAACTTCAAGTATATGAAATATCTTCAGGCACTTTTTTTTTTTTTAATTAAATTTTAAAGCAAAAGCCTGAGTTAAATTGAGGAGGGAAAGAAAGAAATAATTGAGTATTGGTGGTTTGAAACCTCTCAATTTTATTTACAAATTATACATTTATTAAAAAGTTAAGCATATATATTTGTTCTAAACTATACTTATAAAGATATAAATAATATATTTTAAAGATTGAATCTAAACCGTTATAGAATACTGCTGTGCAAGACGCTCAAACTCTTTTTCTTTGTTACTATACTCATTTACAAAGTGATGATCAGCATGAGAATCAAACAACTGACTGCGGTAACGATTGGTAACCTAAATTAAAAATATCATAAGTCATTAGAAAAACATGTTAACGTAAAAATATTTATTTTTAGATTAAAAAATAAATACCTCAAGAGGTTTTCCTAAATGCTGTGATAGAACCATCATATTGAGAAGTGTGTCTGGATTGTTATTGTCTTTGTCCATGGCTTCTGTAAGAGCTGCTTCTGCTTCTTCATATTTTCCTTGCCCGATAAAAGTAACAGATTGCCCATTAAGTAAAACAACGCTACTACCATACTTATCCATCAGCTCTTGAAAAATGTAATAAGCATCTTGCAGTTTGTCACCTCCCTAAGATCAATTTTTAAAATAAATATGATGTTACACAACATAAATAAACAGCTTATACCAATGCAAATAAATAAAGTTTATAAAATGGAGTGAAGTATCAGGATAATGACCAGTAAAAAAACCTTAATAAGAAATTTTACTTTTTAATGAATATTACCAAGAAATTTCTAAATAAAAAACTGTTAATAGTACATTTACTTATTAGTAATTTTTTTTTATATGCATATTATCAATGTTTTATTATTAAAACCACTCATCACCATTGCAATATTCAACCAAGCTTGCGCCAACTGAGTTAATGTATTATCTTCATCCTTTTCCTGCATAACTTTTAATTCTTTTTTGGCTAAGTCAACTCTGTCCATTCGCAAATAGCACTGTAAATTCATGGATAAGCTAAAAAAATAAATAAAAATAATACATAATAAAATATTATTTCAACTAAATCAATAACAATAGTTACATACAATTAGTTACGAATTAGCATTTACCTCTCAATATGGTCATCATTGTATAATACTCTAAGAGCCGATTCATTGTTCTTCTCATGGCAGTAAATTGTAGCAGCCACAATTACAAATGTATGGTTGCTTAAATTATTGGAATCATTGAGTTGATCATCAATAGCTGAAACGATTGCATCTCTAAAAATTAAAAGTATATAATTAGTGTTACTAAAATCACATACCCTTTGGCAGCCAGTCATTACTCATGAAATTAAATTTTAACTTCCTAATTAAATTTCATTTCTAAATTTTTACACTTAAATTAACCAAATATAATTTTTTAAAAAAGTATTACATCATAAAGATCACTCTATCAAAGTTGTAGGGCCATCAAGATCACATAAATCATACTATTGATGCAATTTTGAAAATGGCCAAATGCGTTAAAAAGTAGACAGGCAAACGAACCCCTTTGTAAGATTCTTATCTCAACTGAAAAGGATTCATTCGAGGTTAGTTCATCACTTATAAGCAAGTATAGCTAGTTATAATCAAAATTCATGATCTAATTAAAGTGAGGTTATACCTGAGAAGATAGTCAATGCCTGACCACTTTCAGAATTCCATCTACAGAGAGGTCAATGTGATCTTGGCTCAGCTTTGACACTATAAGTTTTACTGTGATTGAAAAAGTTTTAAAAAGAATATATTAATAATTTCATGATCATTATCAAATAACGTAATTGTTGATTCAGCAAACAACCAGTACAAAAGGACACAAAAATGGATGTAAAAATATAAAATTTATCAAATGCATATTGTAATATATGTTTACCTATCTACAATTCTTTTAACAGTTTCAAGAAGAATAACTATAACAGTGAGAACAATAAAAATGTTTTCTAAATTTTTGACATGTTTATTAATGATTTATAACTAAAATAGTAATATTGAATTCAATGTTACAAAAAAGTACAAATTAAATATTTTAAAAACACTTCAAGATAATCCTTATAATCCAATTATCCTTTTAAAAATATAAACTAGTTTTCTTCGCAATCTGATTGAAATATGGCAAAATGCATTTTATGAGGGAAAAATTTTCCACTTAAGTCAATCTCAATTGTTGCTGAGCTTTATTCACAATTTATGAAACCAATATTTATGGCAGATTGTGTCAGTGTAATTTCCACTATTTTTCAGATTGATTGATTTTGTTGAACACTTGTTCCTTTTTATATTAGCAAGATGTGAAAGCTAATACCGTCCTCAAATAATGTTCCATCTAACAAAAAAAATATTTTTCCAAATCAGACCAATTAATGTGCTGGTCGCACCCTGCTGCGTTATAAAAAAGTCCCAATTTTTGGTAAGAATGCAAAACGGCCAGGGAATGGCCGGAGAACGGAAAGAGAATATACGGTTTTCTTTAGTCATGTGGCTATTTCAGAAGCATATGAGCTTTATATAATTTTTGTTAATTTTATACCGTTAAATATTAATAATAATGAATAATTGTTGAGAACTGCTTATCAAAGTTTGCATTGTTGATAAGTTGTTAGAATTTGACCGCCATTGTTTGGACTTAATAAACAATCCGAAAATGATCTTTTTTTTTTTACTGAGGTATTATTATTAAAAAAATATATTTATAGGGAATAGGATAAATCTTGGGCATCAGCAAGTTAACTTCATTTGCTACTTCAATTACCGTAATTTTGTCAGCTTAATGAAATAAGCACATCAAAACAAATATTTACAATTTTATTTTTTGGGTTCTTACATATGAACACCACCACAGCAAAAATTTATTGCAAAAACTTTAGGAGTAATTAGTGCATTAGCAGAATTTTGCTGCAATGGCGTTAATACGTAAGTACCATTTGTTTGTACTAAAAACAAATCACATATATTATAAAAAGTTCAGCCGATGAGATAGTAACAAATAGATACACAGTCGGAAATCTCAGGCAAACTAATCAAGCACCAATTTAGGGGGTCAGTTATAAGTTTACACAAATGTTTAACTACATTTAACCATAGAAATACAACTAACCTTTTATTTTTATTTGAAAAATAGTCTGCAAGGGTTTTCAGTGGCCTGAGTTCAGCTGGAGAAGCCCCATTAATTTCATCCAAAACTACTCGATATTTTCTTTGGGATATATATGACCTGTAAAGGTATATATCCCTTTCAAGTTGTATTTCACTAGTTGGAGGCTAAAAGGTCAATAAAATAACATAAATAATATTGAAACTGGAAAAATCAGAAAAACAAGAAAAAACTAACAATACTTTAATATCACCTTTAATTTCTGAGCTTCAGTAATAGCTTGTTGGTAATTTCCAATGTAATAAGAATTCTTGACATCAAAAAGAATGTCGACTTCTCCCTGTTGAGGAGCCATTATCTTAAATATGTCAAAAGATTCTATAAACTAATCTTTTGATAAGAAACCTACGGCAACGAAGGTTATAAACGTCATGCAACATGTGGAAAAGGCTTCGCCACGTTTCACTTAATCTTAACTTTACAAAACCAAACCAATTGAATTATTTATACTAAGTTGTTAAACAGAAAAATATTCTTAAATTATAAGAAATATTCTAAATCAATTCAGTTCCATTTAAAGAGTTTCTGTATTTTCAATATAATATTAATCTATTAAACATCTGATAAGTGATAACATGAACGAATTTTGAATGTGATATTCTGTTGTTTATGCCTAAAAGTTGAATTACAAGTATTTTCTAACGTGTTAAACCGGTGAAAACTTGTTTAGACTGTAATAATGGACACTGATAATGATTTCTTGCCTTCCAAAGCCTTTGATATTTTTGAAGATATTGGAAGTTATGATCCTAAAGAATCTCCATCCAATGGCTATGAGTATTTGTATCAAGTTATTTACGAATCTTCCAAAGCCCCACAAACTTTAGTAGCCTCTATAGATACAGAAAAGTACAAAAAAAATCAGACTTTCTACATCCAGGAAACTAAGACTGAAACAATTGATAAAGGCTTCATTCCTAATGATGAATGGCAAGTTAAACAACTCCAACACTTTAAAGTAGTCAGGAATTTAATTGCAGATATGAGACAAAATTGGAAAAAAAGAAAGATTTCAGGAAATGATACTTCTGTTAATTCAGTACCTGAAGATTTAGGAAAGGAAGATGAATGGCTAAAATTTTGTACAGAGACTCAGCCACTATTAAGCATATTATTCTCAATTAATCAAACAGGTTTGGACCAACTCTTAAATTATTATTCGATGTGGTTGCAGGAAAATCTTATGGAATTTTCACATAAAACTAGTATGTGGCTATTTTCCATTTTGGCTTGTTTAGAAGAACCACTACCTCCAAATATCTGTGCCAATATTAGAAGTATTATAAGGTATGCAAAACAGAGAAGAAATTCTTTGAAAAGTACAAGTGATGAAGTCTTAGTACCTTTGAATGTAATTATTTGTATTGCTGTCAAATATTTCAGACAAACAGATCTTGGAGATTGATGATGGTGCATTTGTCTGAACTGGCTATTAATTGATGAACCAATCGAGTTTGTTGTGTTATTTATATTCTGTTGTGTCAATATATCTTGTTTATAATTTTACAATGTTTTTTATGAATTTTTTTTATTAGTATTTTAGTGTTATCGTCAACTGATCATACTTGAGGGTTTTTTTTTACCTGGAAGATTTTAATTATTTTCTTATTAATAACAATGGTTCTTTGGGAACCAATAAATAACCATTTTTATAATATCATATGTATCAATGCTTTCAATCAATTGTTATTCTATTTAAGTATCAACAAGCTCTTGAGACTTGATCTCACAAAGCTGTTGCCAAATATTTTTGTATTACTAAACGTGTTGACATGTATTTCTGATAATTAAAAAATTACCCTGAAAATTTTATGTGGTTAATGCTTGGTGTTAATTGTACAAACTTTCCATCCCTCCAAAATAATTATTTTTGGAAAAATAAAATATGGGTAGTTAATCATCAACTAATGTATGTCAAAATATTCATACAGGAATTATTTGCATTGTTACGAACAGCTTGTACAAAATAAATTTGTCAAGTGGTATGAAAGTCATATATTCTTGAAGTTCCAACTTTGAGAGTGAGCTTTTCCTCTCATCGTTGTTAATGTTTTTTTGATCACTAGCATTATTTGAATCATAATCTTCAGAATGTGGAAACATGTAATGAAGACTTTATATTTATCTTCTGAATTATGCCCTTTCATTTCAGCACACTTTTCTCTGTTGTGAAATTCGTGATGTGGGTATGTGAAGGTACCTTCAATATATGAATAAAAATATGTCTTCTTAAATTTTGGACAAGCACTTTAATTTGGGGTTCTCCCCCTTATTTCTTGTTGAAATTAGATTTGCTCAAGCTTCTTTTCCTCTGTTTTGAAAAGAACCTTGAATTTTTTTTCCCTAATTAATAAAGCACACATTTTGATTGACTTAGGTTTTGATTGGCAAGTTATAGAAAAGTCCATCCAGAAACAGAAAGAGTTCTCTATCTGCTTAGCGGTTCTACTAAAGGTCTTTGAAAAATTAGAAAGGACAACATAGAATGAGATTTTCTGAAAAGCAATTATACATTGGTACAATCCAGGATGTGAAGAGTGATTCCTAAGGATCTCCTAAGCATGACGATCCGGGATCCATTGTAAGTCCTTTTGGTTTTTCAAGGTGAAATAAAACTCTGAAATAATACATAACATTTATTTTAATCTACAATATATTCATCATTATTTAATATGACTTCCCCTTCTTTCCACTAACTGCATAATGCCATGTTCATAGAATTTCTGGTGTTGATTGTTAAAAAAATTATCCAAGTGGTTTTTGAGATGCTCTACCTTTTGGAATTTCTTTCCATTCATGGAGTTCTGCAGAGAGTGGAATAAGTGTTAGGCACTTGGAGCTAGGTCTGGTGAATAGGAAGGGTGGGGAAAAAGGTCCCAAGTCTCAATAATTTATTGTGGGTGACCAATGAGGTATGGGGCCTAGCATTGTCTTAGTGGAACACAACACCCTTCTTATCATTCATAACTCTTCAGTATGTTCTCCAAATTCGATATTACTATATCCATTGGAAAGCTGAATTATTGCTCTTCAAAGCCATGTACCTACACAAGGAATAAATAAACAAAAACTCCTTCTAGGTTTTTATTTTTTATATCCATTAGTAGTTTGTTTACAAAGGTCCTGTTGATGTCATTTTGTGTAATTTATGTGGCCATAAATTTCTTGTTGATAGCTTCATATTGAAGTCATAACATTTTTTATGACATTCGAAAAAAAATCATGTGAGGGGCCCAAACATTAAGTCTGGAAATATAGCCGAGCTTGTACAAATGGTTTTCTATGCTTGTGTGGGACACATTTAGGGCCATAGCCACAATGGCCTTAACGTTGCTCGTTTTAACTTCATGTGGGCGATCAGATCGTTGAGCATCATTGATGTCAAAATTTCCTGAATGAAATTCGGCAAACCAATTATGACAGGTGCGTTCTGTTAAGGCATCATCCCCATAAACACTGCAAATTTTTTTATGAGCTTCTGCAGCTCGCTTACCTTTTTTAAAATAATACAACGTAATATGCCGATAATGAATGATATTTGCTTTCATATTCACAAGTGCAATAGCAAACATAATACTAAGCTAGTTTCTACAAGAGTTAACAGATATAGTTGTATATGATATAGATAGATAGAAAGATAGAAAAAAAAACTTTATTCTGGGACTAAGTCCCTTCAGAATAACAATAATGTACAAAATAATAGAATATTACTGGCCTGAACGTTGAAACAATAAATAAAATTGATAAAATAAAATGAAAAGTAAAGAAAACCTTAGGTGCACAAGCTATATACAAACAGATAAAACTATGTACAGAGTATTTAAAATTATGAACAAAACAATTAAAACTATGAACGAATCACTTGAACTATGAACAAAATTATATTTAAGGGTTGAACAACATAAACATACACTTTGAGAAATGAAGAACGAAAAAGAGATACAATGAGTTCATTTCATAAAAAAAAAAAAAAAAACTTTACTTGAATATATATATAAAAATAAACAGTTACTTATAATTGAATAAAAAAATAACATAAAAAAAAATGTATGTATTGAAATTCCTACGTCGATAGTAGGAAATGCATGTACTATCTCTTACCAAGTGTTATGATTATATGATTGCTACACAATACATATATAATATCAATAGTTAGCTGGTATCAGACTGTTTTTGGAACAGGAATTGGAATAGGAGGTTTTTGAATGTATACAGGGAAGGGGCATGTCGAATTTTGATCGGGAGGGAATTCCAAAAGTTGACAGAGCGGGCTATAAAGGAATTTTGGAATGAGGCAGATCTATGAGAAGGGATGTATAGGTCAGAGGGTCGGGATCTTGTAGTGAGTGAATGGATTGAGGACTTAAATTGGAGAAGGTTGTAGGCATAAGAAGGACGATGATCGGTAATGATTTGATAAAGGAAAGTGCCAAGGAAATATTGTCTTCTTAAGGAGGGGAAGAGCCACCCTAACTCAGTGTAGTGGTGGGAGACACGGGAGCGTCTCGGGATTCCAATTACAAATCTTACGAAGCAATTCATAAGTCTTTTGAGTCTATCACGCAGTTCCACCGAGAGGCCATCGTACACCACACAGCTGTAGTCAAAGTGGGGAAAGATGAGAGAGGAAACTATGAGTCTACGGGTATTTTGGGGTAGAAGATGGCGGAAGTGATGGAATAGTTTGAGGGTAGAAATTGCACGGCTGGATATATAAGAGATATGGTGATTCCAGGAAAGGGTTTGATCTATGAGAAAGCCTAAATTTTTAACAAAGGGATAGAAGGTGATGGGGTGGTTGTTTAGATAGAGTGAGGGAAAGTTGGTGTGGGATCTAAGAAGGGGCTTGGAACCAATGAGAATGGCCTGAGTTTTGGCAGCATTTAGCCTTAATCCATTTAAGTTGGCCCAGGCACTAATTCGATCTAAATCTTCTTGAATTTTGGCAAATGCCACCAATAACTCAGCGGGAGAAAAGGATAAATAGATTTGAGAATCGTCGGCATAAAGGTGGTGGGAACAATGGATAATTGAATCATTTAGGTCATTAATATAAGAACTGAAAAGAAGAGGAGACATGCTTGAACCCTGTGCAACTCCTGAGGATAAAGGAAGGTAGGCAGATAGAGGTTGATTAGGTATGGAAACTGCTTGGGTTCGTATTCTGGATATCACTAGTAATTTTAATCAGAGCAGATTGTGTAGAGTAGCCAGGACGGAAGCCAGATTGGAGAGGATCGAGTTGGTTGGATTGTTCAAGGTAGTTGGAAACTTGTGATTGCACTAACTTTTCTAGGGGTTTAGAAAGATTGGAAAGGATTGATATTGGGCGGAAATCTTCGGGAGAGGATGGATTAGGCTTTTTGTTTAAAGGAAGGACAATGGATTTTTTCCAAGAGGTCGGGAATATTGAATTCTGCAGAGAGAAATTGTAGATGAAAAGGAGTGCTGGGAGGATTTCAGGGAGACATAATTTTATTAGTTTGATAGGAATGCCATCTGGGCCTACGGAATTGGAACGGGATTTCATTATAACGGTAATAAGGTCTGTGGGAGAAATGTCGGAAAAATAAAAATTATTGTCGTTAAAAGGTACCTCTGGAGAAAAGCCGGAAGGGGATGGTAAAGAAGAGGTGGAAACCGATATAAAGTGGGAGATTAGGTCATCAGGTGATATTGGGAAAACTGAGGAAGGGGATCTAGAAGATTCACAGAGGGAAAGCTTACGAAGTAGAAGCCATTTTGATTTGATATCAGGAGCTGAGGAAAGGGCTTCGTGAAAGTAGTTCGCTTTCGCTTGTCGTATCCTTGTCAGTGTCGTGTTACGAAGCACTCTGAATATTTGATAATCATCTGCAAGCCTAGTCCGTCTGAAGCGTCTGCGTGCAGCGTCGCGTCTCTTCTGCAGATCCTTAATTTCCTGACACATCCAAGGAGCAGGACGATGACGGAAAGTGGAGGTTTTCAGAGGAGCGTGGGTATTGAGTATATTGAGAAGATTGGTGGTGAGAATATCAACCATGGTGTCGACAGAGGAGCAATGATATATTCCATTCAAATCCAATGTTACTAGATCAGGTAATATTTTTTCTCGAGTAAGGGTATCCAGTTGGCGGAAAGTGATAGTTCGAGGATGGATTGGAGGAGTGCGGATATTATACGTTATTTGTATCAGATCATGAGATGAAAGAAAGGATACTGGCAATTGAGAGGCGGAGAGGAGGTTTTGTGCTGAGCCGATGATGTAGTCTAGCCAAGTGTCAGATCTGGTGGTGTGGTGGGTGGAGGAAAAAGGAACGATGAATAGGTGAAGTGAGAAAAACAGATTTTCTAAATAGGATTTGTCATTGGAGTTTGAGAGGAAATTGGTATTGAGGTCACCGGAGATAATTATTCTGGGATAGAGGGGAACGAAGTTGAATAGAGTTGATTCGAAGGACGGGTCAAATGGCACGAGAGGAGGGCGATATACCACAGCGTAAAGGATAGGAGAAATATTACTGAGAATTTCTACTAAGAGGTATTCTACATAAGGATGATCGGAAGATGGGGAGCAATCGAGGATTCGGGTCTTTAGGCTATTGTGGACAAACATGGCTACTCCACCGCCAGTCCGGTTTACCCGGTCATGACGGAGCAGGATGTAATCAGGCAAGGAGACTAAAGATGATGGAATATAAGGTTTGAGCCAGGTTTCGGATATTGCTATGATATGATAAAAGTTTTGGGTAAAGTATTGCAGGAATTCGTCATAATGGGCAGAAAGTGATTGAGAGTTAACTTGACATGTGATTAGGGAACTACACATACAGTGGATTTGGAGAGAAACAGTCAGTGTTTGGTAGTAGTAGAAAGTAAGAAACGAGTAGAAAGTACAGAAAAGCGATTATCGTACATGAAACTAAGTGAAGAAAAAGTAATATTAACATTAAAAATAAATAAAGAGAATGTACTTGAAAATAAATAGATTGATGAGTGACGGTGTAGAGATA